ATTGGTTATGTTCTTCATTTCTCGTCTAGCAGAAACTAATCGAGCTCCGTTTGATCTCCCAGAAGCGGAAGCTGAATCAGTTGCAGGCTATAATGTAGAATATGCGCGGGATGCGATCCTTAATAGTCCACTGTTGGCGGAAGCCAATGTCCCGGGGTCCCGGGGACTCATTCTGACTGAAACAAGGGGTGGGTCTTTACCAACTTAAAATTCGATTTTAGGGAAGCCAAAAAACGTGAGCGCCCCTACGCGAGCCTTATTGAAAAGGCCCCTAACTATAGAACAAAGCAAGGGATTGAGCTGCGCGAAAGCCGTTGCGCTAACGCGCATCCGTTTTCTTGCTCGTTAGCGCTTTACTAATAACATAGAAAGGGCTTTTCTTGCTTGTTTAGTAAAGTCACGCTTTTTTTTTATAGGAGTAGGTGCGGGCAGGGTACTCTTCATTCTTCATTTGAAACTAATGAATGTCGGGTCGGGGGTTTCTGCCTTGTTATCAAAAAGGGAGTTGGGTAAAGCAAACTCCCTCCTTGGACGAGCACGGGGCTTAGTCAAGTAGAACCGGGTTGCGTTGCTTGATGCTCCGATCGAAAACAAATCAGTGGGGCCATGCCGGTACGACTGAATATGCGTTAGAAAGGTCAATCCCTTCCCTACGACACCAAAAAAACCGGGCCGAACTTCTAACTAACAGCCCGCCCGCTTCCATAGAACAATATCGTGGCAACGTAGACCTAAGTGGTCATATTGGATCCTTGGGAACCATCACAAGTACGGCCGGCCTATATTTAAACGAGAATGCCGTGTCGTCCAGCGGAGCCTAGAAGAAGGTGACTCGCGCAGACAGCTGACTCCTTTTCAATAGAAAGGAATAGCCAAACCAACCCAGCTGGCTGGTCAATCTCAGAGATCTTATCGGCCGGCAAACCGGAGACGGACGACCACGGTCCCGACCTTACCAGCACCGGAGGTGTACTAATCAATGAACCCCCGAAACCTACTTTCTTTTCTGACAAAATCAACCAAGCCTAACCGGTCACGACATGTTGTTGATATTGATTGAGTTTTGGGGACTTTCGCTGACTGAATCCATCCATAAACCTAGACCCCGGCAACCTTCGTAACCAAAGCGTCACGACAACATCCAAAGGTGACCCTTGGATGGGGGCAAGGAGGAGCGCGTAGGAATGCCGACCACTACATAAGCCACTAGTGGCTGAGAGAAAGCGAGCAGCACCTTGTATAGGTTGTGCGGAGCTTGAAGAAGCGAGCCCCTTTCAGAGAAAGCCATTGCGCGCTAGCCTAGCTAGCTAGCGTTTTTCAGCCGGCTGTTATGTTGGTTGTAGCGCGCCTTCCCTCCCTCAGCGTTTCACACTAAGCAAGTTTCACTCCCTCTCTCATTTCGGAAAGATTTTTCAGTATTTTTTTATGATGACCTGGTCGAGAGAGTACGATACATTGGTGTAAAAGATTTTTGGGATCTGTGAGGTTGGTTTTTTTATAGTAAGGCCTGGCCGGAAAGTGAGCTTTGATAATCCTAAGTACTTCTTCGAGTAAGCTCGTGATCTATAGACAGGATATAATCCTATTCCTCCTGAGCTAGGCACTTCTTGCTTATGAGTCCGATAAGCTGCCTAAAGTATTCAATATTTCAAGTCGTGAGCTGAAATAGCCCGATTCTCTACTTCTGGCTTTAGTCAATTCTGTGGGCAAGTCAAGTATAGTAGTTACCGTTGCTTGTTTGCTCCTTCGTATAGGTTCCGTGTAGGCGCCTTTCCATACGATCAATTGAATATTGGAAAAAGACTCTGGATATTCACTACTATTGATATCTGAAACTTTAGACTTGAAGTCTACTGCTTACTCATTTGATTTGATATAAGTTCGGAATCCACTGAGGTAGAGCCGGGCCGGGGGAATCCATACAGGTCGAGTGGGCCTTACGGTTTGCTTGCTTGGCTCTCAGTTGCCTTTAAGCTTTCAGGCGAATATGGCTCATAAATGAGATATTTGCATTAGATAGCTGTTAGTAGGGGCGCATTGGTTAGCCCACGAGAGAGAGGCTGTGGGGCTGTTCGAGGTTGAGAGGAAAGAAAGCAGTTGGAGGTGAAGGAACTCCACTCTCATCTAAGCAAGCGCCTCCGCAGGCACTCTTGCAATAGGAGAATATGCTTTTCATTCACCACTCTAGTCGACGGAGACAACTACTATCGGATTCAGTTGAGCCAGCCTTATGAGGGCCTTAGTGCGCTAGGTGGTAGTTCAGCTGTAAGTGTCAACCAGTCGGAAGGAGAACTCATAGCAGGGGAGGAACCAATTTCAAGGGGAGAGAAAGTGAGATAATGAAGGGACTTTTGTATAGTTGATTATGAATTTCATGAAGTAGAGATCGGGACTACTCCAAGCTACGGGTTTCACTGCCTTATAAGAGAGAGACGGGGCCTAGTGCGCTTGCTCCTTGCTCAGTCAATTGGATACCTGCTTGAAGCTATTCTCTCTCTTT